TTGATCCTTAAACACTGAAACTCTTCTGGACTCACAGATCAAACCTAAAGAAGTCTCGTCTAAAAGAGATCATCAACTTTCAAACAACAGGAGGATTTTTTGTAAAAATATAAAGTGTCTGAAACGATGACTGACATGTGAAATGTCTCCAAAGTGGAACCATGAGAACCAGTTTGGGTTTGAAGAGAACAACATGAACATATAAGTCAGTCAGGGGACATGTTAGGGGCCAATAGAGTTCAAACATATGTTTGAGTCACTGAAGGCACAAATCAATGAAGGCAGATTCATTTATAAAATGAGAAAACATCTAAAGACCAAAGAAACACTTGATTCTATTATTTTAAGTGGAGAAAATAACATGAATAACGTGTTTCTTTCTACTAAATGAACCAGAACTTGAGGAAGATGTTGGATCGCTAATAATGAGAATAAATATGAAGCAAAAGTGAATTCATACCCTCCAAACTAAAAGTAAATCTGGACGTTTAAATACAATATAATGAGTCGTGAATATCGAATCCAGTCGTTATAATGGAGGGAAAGCTGGTCACATGGCTCCACTTCCTGTCTCGGCCCTCGTGGACTTCATCTCCTGCTGGTCGGTGGTTTGAGTCCCCGACGACGCCGCGTTCTCGCTGTCGTCCGACTCGCCGCAGCGCAGTGCCCGGGGCAGCGCGCCACAGAGCGCCCTCCGGAACATGGAGCTGGAGAAGACGTAGACCACGGGGTCCAGCGCCGAGTTCAGGAAGTTCAGCCCCAGGGACACGATGGTGAGCTGGGTGAAGGTGTAGAAGGAGGCGCAGTCCCACGGCCGGTACGAGCGGATCACCCACACCCCGACGGTCGCCACCGTGGTGGGCAGGAAGCACACGGTGAACACCGCCACGATGGCGACGCACACCCGCATGGCCATCCGCACCTTCTCCGGGTTCCCCATCCGCCGGCGCCTCAGGAAGCCGGAGATGCGGACGGAGCAGAACAGCAGCATGGCCGTCGGGAAGACGAACTCCAGCACCGTCAGGACGCGGTGCGTGCCGACCAAGACCACGATGGCCCGCGACGCCTCTTTGTAGGAGGTGAAGAAGAAGCACTGGGTCCCGTCGCCGGCGCCCTTGATGTGGCTGAAGGCCAGCATGGGGAGCCGAGGAGCGGCGACCAGCAGCCAGACGAACGCCGACACCAGCGCGGCCTGACGCAGGGTCAGCCGGTTGAAGCGGTGGTGAGGGTGGACCACCTGGGGCCAGAGGACAGGAAGTGTATTACGTCACGCCTCACTGATGAGCTTTCTGTTCATTTATTTCTTTAAAGCACTTTGTAAACTCTGTTTTTAAAGGTGCTACATGAATGAAGTTATTATTATTGTAACATTACAGTTTTGGTATCATATTGTAATATAGACGCTCTGCTGACGTGTAAAACCTTTAAATCATGTGTAGAGTCGTCGTGACATCCTCACAGCTGGTCCTCACCTTGAAGTAGCGGTAGATGGCGACCACCGTCATGAGCGCGATGCTGGCCGAGCGGTTGGAGAACATCAGGAAGAGGTTGATCCGGCACAGACCGTCTCCGAACACCCAGTGGCCCCTGAGCAAGGCGTCGATCCTCAGCGGCAGACTCACCAGAGCCAGGAAGTCTGCGATGACCAGGTTGAAGAGGAACAGGTTGTTGGGGTTCCAGGTCTTCAGCTTGAAGCAGAAGATCCACAGAGCCACCACGTTTCCCAGCAGCCCCAGCACCACGTCCACGGTGAGCACCGGGGGCAGAATCAGGCCCTCCAGCTGGATACCGACGGGGGGGCAGCCGGGCGGGGGGGTGGTCAGGTTCAACATGGAGGAGGTGGTGTTGAACATTTTATATTGTGTATCTATTCTAACTGATGAATCAGGAGACAAATGAAAATGATGTCCAGCTCCTCTGGAGAACAAAAAACACAAGTTGATGACGTCAAAGAGGAAAGTGAGAAAATGTCTCCACTTCCTCTTTTCAACTTCTTCCTTTTCTTTCGAATGAAATCTGTTCAAAAATAAGGAACACACACACACACACACACACACACACACACACACACACACACACA